CCTGGTATTGATCGGATAAAAACAGAAAACTACCGATCAAAGCAGCCAGGTGCTAGAATTCTGCTCCAGATAGCCAATGAATTCGACCGAACTATCTAGCTAGAGTCGAAAATCCTGTATCCATCGGGATTCCAAACTACAACATCCTGACACACACATTATAGCGAAATTCTTGCCATTAATGAAAAAAAAAAGAAAAAACATTGACACCAAAAAACCTGTTACGCTACTGATGGATAGGGAATTACACCTCAGTGCTGCATCCAAGAGATTTAAGAAGAAAATTTAATCACAATGCTTATCAAAATTACAATGGTTTTCCTGGCATAGCCACGGGCCTGTAGTACCGCAATGCTCAGTCCAGGTCAGTATGTCTAAGACAGATAGTAACGTCGAGGCAACGAAATAGCAGACAAACTGGCCCAATAGGCTGCAGAAGATAAACAATTACCCACTATCTACCACAAAATTTCGAAAACCACTTTAGCAACAACACTTCATGATAAGGCACTCCAAATCTAGCAGAACAGTTGGAACAATACAACAGAAGGCAAAAGCTCTCAATCATTTTCCCAACACCAAAGAGGATAACACTAAAATTACCAACAATTCAAGAATTTACTTTCGTTATAACACGGCACGGCACATCTAAAACACATCTACACCGATTCTTTGTCATTAACAATCCAGGTAGGCCTATTATGTGTAGCAGAGGACAAACAAAACATGAAAACATCTAGCCCCAACACAATTCCGAAATATCACTTTTAATAGAGACAAGAATTATATTTCATCAAATTGCAGAAAAAATATTCGCTAATTCAGATATATTAAGTGCTGTACAATAACCAAGAAATACACTAAAACTAATTGCACTCATATAGAATTCATGAGAGCAATACATGAAATTTTCTCTGATTGCCCAAACCAATTCCAGATTTCTTAGTGTACACATTTTACAAATAATATTAACTCCATATTTCCCCGGTGTGAGGCAGATTCTGCCTCACTCGCGATCGGAACCGTTTGCCTAGAAGCCTGCAGGAGACCCTCCTCGGTGACCTACTTTCTGAGAACAACTCGCCCCCCTCGGCAACATTCCTTTGACCTGCACGGGTCCGAATCGGGAAAAGACCTCCCGAGCTTTGACATGCATATAGTCACGTAGAAGCTTCGGTGGGGAGAACATGAGTTTAGTTACGTAACTAGTACTCGTAGGGCGGATTTGAATGAAATGTCTCTTGTTCGTTTCTTTTTCCCACTTTAAAACAATGCCGTTTAGTATAGAAATTGATTTTATGTTATGAAAAACGATACGACCCATTTTTATGTGTCTTTTTCTTTCATTTTTCGTAGAGTTCGTCTGATAAATCATTTTTTACCTTTTTGCATAATTTTAATGCATTTTTCGCTGATTTCATCTATTTTAACATCCTTTTAATGGCACTTACTTCAAACAATATTTTCGAGGTGCAACAAATGTTCACTATAGAATTATTGAGTAGCCTCTTCGATTTCTTTGCTCATATAATTACTATATCACCCGCCGTGAGTACTATGTAATCTAAGGTTCCGGTGACGCCTATCGGTGCCAATGTCTGTTCGGCCGATTTTGCGATAAATAACGGAAGAGAATTTCTTTTAAAGATCAGTCCAAACGAAAAGTTTGTTTGATTACATCAGTAACAACAACTTGAGTTGGTCATCTGAAGTTTTTTTATCATTTTTTTACGTCATTTTTCTTTGTTTTAGGGGATTTTAAAAGCATTTTAAGAGCATTTTATTAATCATTTTTTATAATGTTTTAGGTCATCCAAATCCACCCCCTTGTAATTAGATATAGGAAATTTTAGCAGCGTGAAGCCGTCCAAATGTCTCATGAATTACAAATTAGGGACAACTAGTGTTAAAAATATGTTCGATTGCAATTCGCCGAGTATTGTTTGATGAAAATTCAGTACAATTTTCAGACCTTTGGCAATCAATATTTTTAACAGCAACTGATTTACTATCGGTGAACGTAACTTTTCCTATGTAAGATGACAATAGCATAATAGTGTCGATTATATTGTAAATTGCAATGAAACATTATATTTATTACATGCCGACTACTACGAATTGATTTGACCATCAAAAAATAAATTAAGAAGTTGAGAGACAATAACAATAATAATAATAATAATAATAATAATAATAATAATAATAATAATAAATGTGACTTGATTATGAAGAAATGATGAAATACACATCATCATCATCATCATTTGACCCCATCCTCAGGGCTTACAACCTTGGAGTGTAGAAATAGAATCAGCATTAAATGCTGACCCCCCCCCTCCGATTGAAAAGTAACGTGCACCTATCCCGATAATCATGACTGATCCCCGATGGGATGCACATATCGCTTGGCCCCATGATGGCCATGACAAAAAATACGTTTATTACAACGTGCTATAATAATACTGATAATAATAATAAAAGAGGTAAATAATTAAACATAAAAGATGTTTCACTTTTTTTAATTTTATTGACAGTTGACACATCACAGTTGTTCTAAACTGTCTTAGGCACATTTTCTGTGAAGTGCAACATTTTTGGGACAGACACAGTGGCAGAAAGTATATCACAAAATTTCTTATATCATGGAAGTGACGTTAAGCGGTAATGTTTTGTGGAAGCAGTCGAGGAATGCGGAAAGAGAAAACATGGTATGCAGCTGTCATAAAATGTCGCTGCGCTCAATGTCTAACATTGCACACCGCACTCTCCAATGACGTCAAGAAGGATATTTTGGCATTAGAGCACATTTACAATGTACCTAAGATTTACTGCATTATACATACGATTTGTGTGGTTTTAGTTAAAAAAATATTCAGTTTCAGAGTTATGATCCGTTAATTTATTCGAAAAGAATTGTTAAGAAATGTTAAGTAATTATTTTTACCTGTACTATTGACCGTCAGTTAAATTAATTCACAATTCTGTATTCTAGGTTGTATGTTGCCTTTGTATTTTGTTTCTTGCTCTTTTTTACCATTTCAGAGGATTATTACATGAGCCCTGACCTTCTGATTCAGACATTTCGTGGTCGAAACTCGAAAGTGATAACAGAGTTTCTGAATTATCAAAATAGTGTGCTGGAAGAAGAAAATCGCAATTTTCGAAGTTATTCAAATCGGTAGACCATATGTATTTTTAGCTTGATTGTCATCGAAACATTTTTTCTCTCTTTTCCCTTACTACGTACTTACGAGAGCAGTATTACAAAAGAGAAAATTTTGTAATACTGCTGCAGAAATCGACGATTTTCGATAGAAAACCTCGTATTGTAGGGTCCTGGTATCTTGTTCCTTTATGTTGTAAATTACATCCTGCTCATCCTGCAGCACGTGTAGCAGTTTTGTAGGTCTTTGATACCGAAAAATCCATTGGTGGGAAAACGTCGGTGTGACCCATCCGTCCGTTCGCACGTGCACTCGCCAGCCCAATTAAACCTTTCTGAGTATTTTCTCCAAAGTGTATATTCCTTCATGAATCCGAACAACCTCAAGGCCCTGAGAGATTGAAACGGATATTTTGATTTTTATGGATACTTCGCAAGAAGCTTTCAACACACTTTCAAAATTTCTTCAAAAATGGCACATTTTTTATTAAACGTTTTCTTTGGATAGCATGAAGGAGGCTTAAAAAATGGCGCAGATCTCATTTTCGTGAAAATTATCGAAAATTGTAGAAGTTCCAAATTTTCCTTGCTCATTTTTACAACTACAATATTGAAGGTAGAAATGTCTTTCCTTAATGAAAGTATTTCATTAAAAAAAAAACAGAGGTTCTTCAAAGGTCAATGACAATTTTTTAAAGCTTTGAATGATTTTTTTTTATTTTAGTAGTTTTCGCATTATTTTACGTGAAATATACCATTTTTAAATAATTATGTTCTCAAAAAGTCTCCATTTTTTCTTCTGGTATGTAGAAAGAGGCCCAGTAGACAAAAATAGTGGTGGCTCCATTTTCCGCAAACACTCTGCTTTTCGAAAATTGCAAAAGTCGAATTCTGATCAAAAATATTTTTTCTCAAATGGAATGTTCTAAAAAATTGGCTCTTTAAAGAAATTGACGTACGAATTTTTTTGAAAAAAACATGTTTTTGCGTAATTTTTGCTTGAAGTTAATGCAATATGTAAAAACATCTCCAACAGGGTTTTTTTTATAGAGCCAATGACTCTTAAAAATGACGCAGGTACGAAGTCATTTTCGAAAAATGAGAACAAGAAATAAACATTGCAAAACTACAATATTAATGATATATATTTATTTTTATTTGATATCTGTTCTTTAAATCTTGATCTTGAAATAATGTGAAAAAAAATTCTTAATTTTGAAAACTGCATATGCGAATTATCAACTTTTTTAAGCGCGGGGAAGGTTGAGTTCAACCGTACGGGTGTTGATGTAGAGGTGACGTGCCTGGCGTGTTAACTTTTTAACAGCCTGAATTCAAATCTCTAAAGGAAGAAAGAATAAAATTGCAGGTTGGATACACTTTTTGATGTTAATATAGTATTTACAACATTGTGTAGCGGTTATGAATGATGCGAGAAATTAAGAGTTTTAAAGCCCCGATAGGTATTTACAATTTCTTATCTATGTCAGAGTGCGCGGTCAGGAGCATATATAGCTAAGGTGAGAGTTGGGGGCTTAACTTCGTCCCGTATTATCTACCTAAAGCAGATCATATTCTTTTCAGAGGAAACCATGGCAAATTTCGCAAAATAATCCCATAAATATAACCTACACGAAACAACACCTCCACTAGTTTAATATACAATATTTTCTAATCAAAAGATCACTCTTTGTCTTTCCTCCAAATTAAAAATCTGGCACCTATCTGTGTGGTGGATGTTTGCTTTTAAAGGCCGTTTCCTTCCCCCTGTCCCCCCCCCCCATGTATCCTCCAAACCCAGCCGCAGCGGCGTGCGCCGCGTACACGTTGCACTTACAACTTGGCTATGCCGGCCTTCCTCACGGCCGAGCTCACGGCTTTTACGGCGGTCTGAATACTGTTGAGCAGCTGCGTCAGATCCCCGGTCGCCTCCGGCACTTTGCGCTGCTCTTGCAGCACGAAACGCGTCAGCGTCATGCAGTTGGTGTCGAACTTGTGCATTTCGGAGAGTGCGGAGGAGATGAGGTCGGGTTGGAAACACGATTCGCCGCGGACCGCTGGCTTGGTTCGCGGGCCCCCGGGAGACCGCCCTGACTGATACCAAGGTGCCTGCGCAAACCCATTTATCGGGCGGCCGGCTATTACCAACCTTCCGGGTAACCACGCGATCGACCTTTGAAGCCAGCGCGAGGCGATGTCTGAGGCTGGCTGTCCTGGCACAGGCGGCCGTTTGAAAGGCAGGAGACGACCCACGCGGATTATTTCTGCAAGCGAAGCGACGAGAGTGACATTGAACTTTACCGAAAAGATAAAAGTCAAAAATTACGTTCTTTATGGAGTCTTGAAATTAACTTTTTCTATCAAGTAAGGTATGATGATGAAAGTAGGATATGATTTATAAATGAAGACACCTTGGTACAATTTCTTGTTTTATAAATATTATTATGTTTTTTATCTTGCTCTATCGAAACTTATATGGCTTAGATTTACATCATTCTCACCTCGTCATTTGGTTACTTAGAATTTTGCAAATCTAATCGTTCTATTTATTCAGAGAGAGATTGAAATGTCTTTTAGAGTTAGAGCACCACGGAAAAGAATTAAACACGGGCTCGCAGTGAAATCGAAACAATTAACTTTAAATGTTTACAGATATCTGCCGTCACATATTCTGACCATTCATAAATAATGTAAAAAACATTTCCAAGTACGAAAAATACTTTGGAAATGCCATTGTTTATTTTCAACCTAAACCAGGTGAAGGAGTTGACTGAATGTCAATAGTGTTCTGCGAATCGAAAATTTTGTCAGAAAATTCAATGCTAAAAGCTCAATACTCATTTCACAATTTCATCGGTAATTGAATTACAGAAAACTACATGAATTGGGAATCAATATATAAAATAAGCAGAATTCACACACATTCCACATCATTAAAAGTCCTGTTTTCGTCTTCGTTTTTGTAGCATAGTAAAATATGAAAGTTCGAAGATTCATAATGAGTGAACGCAGTAATCATTAATTTTTCAGGTAAAAATTGCGTATTTTCTTCTTTTGAAAGAAAAATAATCCATACAACTTTTATGATAACGTCAAAAAATGTATTAAATAAAATACTCGACCATACATCTAAATTGTTTTCAATATTTTTTTTAATATTCCAAATTAAGGGATTATATTAAAATTAAACGAAGATAAATTATTATTTCATGGCATAACGACTTCTAACTTTATTCATTTTATTTAGATCTCGGTATATAAAACGTTAATTAGCTAAACCCTGCGATTACACCGCACAATAGAAGCACTGTATAAAAATTACAACAGAAAAGTGCCACATATAACATAGGTACAACATATAAAGTACAATATATAAGAAAAGTATTCCATCCCATCCCCAACATTTGTTTTATGTGGTTCAGTACTTATTATCCAGGATTAATAAAATGAAGGAATTAGACATATTCTGGAAAAATATAATTGCGATTCATTGTGAACATGTGGCTTCAAGATTCAGAAAATATAAAAGAAATGTTTACTCTAACATCTGTACTAGTAGTAAGCTAAAGAAGGGAAGATCGCTATGCGCGTGGCTTTAAAAACGTAATACATTGCATTGCATGTAATTATAAACCCTGAAATTTTTGTGTAGGGGACATGTGTAAAATTGCTGATCCCTACGTTTATATACACTCACTTATCTTTGCACTTAAAAACATTCAATCTTCGAACTCAAAAAGCTCTCAGTTTTCTCTTAGTTAACAATAATCTCATGAAACGACACATGCTTTTGATCGATGAGTTACAAACTCGCACAACAAAACTTCGAAGACCAATCACATTCCAAGTACACCATGTAGTTGGTCTTGAAAACATAATGAGAAATAATGGTAGATTGTCTTTTACTAATTTAATGATTTTATTGAAATGTAGTATTGATACTATAAAACCATAGTACTGTTTTTATGTTCGATAATTTTGAAAGTATACAAGTGTATCCAAAAAGTACTTTATTAATGAAGTATTAATAAAGTTATATTAATTTAATATTAATTAATAAATATTAAATAAACATTTTATTTAAAACAAAAGATTTGATTTAAGGAAAAAGTTATATTCTTTATTAACATCCCCTAATAACATTCATTCTCCCATTAAAAAGTCTGCAGGAAAGATGAATTCTACTCATCGTCAGAGCACAAGACTCGCACGTCTTAAAAAATCTAATTTTGCAGAACAGTTGTAATTCGAGAGGATCCGTATTCTTCGCAAAGGCGAAGTTACTCTACTTACAGAATGTCCCACCAACTATGGGCCACGCCCATAACTTCAAAACGGTTCACGTCATCGAAGTGCTGTTTTCGCTCAACATAATCATGGAGCAAGTAATTCGAATTTACATTCCCAATTGTTTTTTGCAATTTTTGAACATACAACAGTGCGCCAAAAATAAAACAATCTTTACAGTACCTTGCTACATACGAGGATTTAAAAAAAAAAAGTTTGGAGGCTTTTCTAAAAAAAATATTTGTTTAAAATTTACAATTGCCTGTTTGACGCACAATTACAAAATTTACGCAATTATTTTCGAAACATTGATCATGATGTCATTTGAAAATATCTTTCAGATGAACCCATTCATTAAAAAAATATTTTTATACTTGTAGTGTTGTAGAAAGACGCCGAACATTTTTGAATTTTTTTGCAATTTTCGAAAAATCCGGGATTTAAACGAAAATGAGGATGATGAAATTTGGTGCAATTTCATTTTAATTGGACTTTTTTTAAATTTTGAAGATGACGGAGTGGCTTCATTTAAAATGCTCTCCAAAATTAAAATATCGGTTTCAAATATATGGGGACATCAGCCACATCAGTTTCAATTTTGGAGAAATTCGGCTCACAGTTAACAGACGGGCGGGTATGACGTCAGACGTCAATCAATTATTAGGTATCAAGGAAACACAAAACATGAATTCTGACGACACAATATGTTAGAGGAAGTAATTTGGTATATGTGAGGTAAGAGTTATCCTTTTCGTTACCGTAATAAGAGCTTTTCTGTCCGTTTTTACTGTCTCTATACTGCGTAAGTAGTAGCGAGAAAGTAAAAAGAAACAATAAACAGTACTATTTCAGATGTTTCAAATCGGTTTCGTAATAATATATTCAGAAAATAGGGATAAGAGCCCAAATCTGTAGTTCAATTGTTAAAGGAAATTGGTTTAATTACAAGGCAGAGAATACTTCTAGATAGAAAGAAATGGCAAACCGTTCGGTTATACATTCATTTATTCAATATTATGTACGAGTAATAAATACATGAGCGAGGTTAGGGATTCCGGAGCTCAAGGAAACGCACAAATTCAAATTCTTTCTTAAACGTTGCACAGGTTTTAAATGTTTTTGGCTTTAAATAAACATTTTTAAATGTTTGATAGGCAACATCTAATTATTTTGAGACCATACAAAATGAACCATTTAATTTTATTATTTACTAAGGAAGATTTTATACGAATGTTTTTGTGTTATGAGAAGTAATTCTTTTTTCTTTTAATATCCCAAGGTTTACATTACCTTCTTGCGTAGGATTATTACAGGCATTAAGTTGTTTTCTGATGACTCATGGCATAGGAACAATGCATAGTAATAATATTATGTAGTAAATATATGTTGACGAAATTATTTCTGACTTTTCAAACTAATAAGAATTAAATACTATCATTGAAATGTTAACAAATTAATTATTAATACATTTCAAAGACTCTTGAATCTGACATAAGCAGATTTGTGCTTCAAGTGTGCACTTATAAAAATATTTTGTATCCCATATTATATTTCGATTACATCATGAATCATTGGATTCTACTGCCCCTGAAAATTATATCAAGTTTTGGTAAATGTTACCAAATGGAGTGATGGACTTTCAACCTCCGGATTGCTGAACGTTTACGACAGCTATCAGTGACCCTCGCTGAGTTATCAGTAGTATCAAGGAACTCCTCAATTTTGTTACTAAACAGTGCTTCAGAATTATTGTAACATTTACAATAAGTAGCCTACTGATATGGGTTTGTACATGTTATTTAAATGTAAATGAAACCAAAGATTTGTGAAACTTTTCTTTCTTTCTCACACATTCATGTTAAATAAGAGCATATCTTTTTGGGACAAAATGTAATATTTAGAAGGTTATTTTGTGTCAAAGTCTTATAGTTCATTCTAAATTTTCTATACAACGCACGTAGAGCTTCGTGACGACAGCAAAATTTGTTTTACGAATTTCTGAAGACGCAGCAATATTTAATTTCGTTTATTAATATTCTTTTCTCCATTCCTTCATGTTCTTAAATTCGAAAATGCTCTAATGGCGTTTATGAAAATAAAAGTGAAGGTGTAGTTCTAAATATAAAAATTATTTTATTTTTAAGTTTTCATCATTGAAAGTTAATTCGAATTTTAGATAATTTGATTTTTTTATAATTCCCCTTAAAGTTAAATTAAATAATTAACTTTGTAAAAATAGAGATTAAGAACTAGAACAAAGCATACATCATGCGATTTACTACAACTATATTATCTTCTTAAAACAGTAGTGAAATAGCCTTTACGCATTCGGTTTCTTAAGGACGTCTATACGTATTTGTACAATAGCTTTACATTCTCAGCAGAATAATTCTGTGGCTCGGGATTCTTATAGGGGTAAGAAATTACAAAATAATTATAATCATAATGATAACGATGTTGGGTACATGTAGTGTCAGAAATTTTAAAATCAGGAATGGCTACCAGTTCCTGACTTTGTGAATAAATTAAAAATTATTATCAGTTATTTGCAAAAATGCATGCGATTATTACGGAAATATTAAATCCAATTAGTACAATTAAAATCAATTAGAAGCATTAATACGGATATTACAATTAAATTATTAAATAGTGCGTAGGATATTACTTATCAGAGAATCCTGTTTTTTAGGGATAGTATGGTATGCCCCGTATACAAATGTACACATTACGAGCTTTTTCTTCATACATGTACGTCAAAGATCCAATAATTAGAATTTTGAGCTTGTAGAAGACAAAATGTTGATTCCAA